TTCAGGTAGTCAAACCCGCACTCACTGATTGCGTTTGCATGCTAAAACTAGAAGTGTAGCCATGGCAGTGTGAGCCTCAGGCTGGGCTAACTGTGTGCATATGTGCCTTGGACAGAATTGTACTCAGGGCAGTTCGCTTGTCCCCCTGCTTGTGCCGCCACAGCTACTCTTCTGGTTTTAGAACGCTAGCTCAGCCAGAACTAGCATGGGTATGTCTACCTGAGCTGGAAATTACACCTCCAGCGCTAGCATAGACTCACCTTGTGATAGGGTATACAAACCCTGCTCTAGACAAGAATGGGTTAAAGAGCAGCTATGTGCTCAGGCAGCCCCACCTCACCTGAGAAGCATGCCAGACTTAGAGGAGTCTTAAAAGGGAGAAACCCAGCTCAGAACTTCCTTGCCCCAGAGGGGGACAGACCTCTCATTCTCAACTTCCCAAGAGGAACAAGCTGCCTTTGGTAGCCTGTGAACATGGAGCAGTAATACAGATGGCTGAAGGACCATGCAGGATAGAAGGGCTGGTGCCACTCTTTTTTTCCTGTTAATTTTCTTTCCTTTGTTACACTGGGAATTGGGATAGGGGGTCTGGCCCTAGGACAGACCCTTACTGAGAATGCAAGCTCCCCGAGGAGATAGCAGGCTAATGCACAAAGTAGCCCAGGGAAGAAACAAGAGATCTGACAAGATTGACCTTAACTGCTTGTTACAGGGCGCCTGGGCCTGGGTTCCCCTACAATGTCACCGAAGAAGTGAGCGTGAAGAGCTCAGACACGGGGGAGTAGTAGCACTATTGGGCCTAGATCTGGGCCACTAACCTCATGTGACATTGTGGGACTTTGAGTGTACTCCAAAAGGGGTGAGACTAAACGTGACCTTGCCAGAGGGCCGAGTCACAAGATGAAGGGACCCACCTGTGAACCTGGCCAGCTGAGCTATGAAGACAAAAAAATCCTACAAGGCCACACTCAGGCCCAGTGCAGCGCATTGACTCGTGAGTCACTTTGTCGCAGGATTACTGCAGTTGAACAAGGTTTAGATCTGAGGCCCGTAACAGGATCGGGGTTGCTGCATTTTATGTGCTAAGGATTCTGCAGATTTTGTTTCTATCCTTATTTCGGGCAATGAGCCAGTCAGAGTGAGCTCAAGATCATGTATGGCTGGAACATCTGGCTGTCACTCACGTGTGAGAATGAAAAGGGAGGGAAGAAAGGGAAATGCAGAGATCATGGGTGGAAGGCAGGCAGGCCTTCATGGTCTGTTTCAGCCAAACTTGGCGAGAATTGATGGAACCTGACTGTATTAGCTTCAGAAATGCACAAGATTAGATATGACCACATTCGCACTCAGGAGATATTTTTCCCCTATATTTTCCACCTTAGTTTGGCTCTGCATAAGTAGTTTTTGCTTTCAGTGGGTTTCCACCTTATTCTAGGCTTCAGTAGCATCACCCCCTTGTATATTTACTGCACAGTTTAAGTACTGTTTGGGTATTTTCTTTTCTGTTTACATCCAGTTGGGAAGGCTTTGGTGACAGATGATCTAGGGGAGCAGGGATGTAGCTGGTCCCTGCATGACTGAGAAGAGTAGCTCAATCAAGTGACTCCATCCTTAGTGTGCACATGCTTACATCTACCATCTTTCACAGACTAAGGCTCCACCTTTACAAAGGGTGCGGGGGGAGAGTGCACATGTATGAAGGCCCAACATTCCCAGTTTGGCTGTTGCCAGCAAGGCTCAGGATGCCTGCCCCAGCAGCCCAGTGAAAGAGTATAAGCAATGGACTCAGCGTTTCCAAAATGGGGCCTGGGTCTGGGCCAAATTTGACAATTCTGGCCTAGTCTAGGTTTGATAAAGTCATTTAATAAAAAATGCACCCAGTGTGACTTTACACCATGCTTTTATTTATTTATAGCCTTCTACCCACTAAACAAATTTTGCTGTTTACACAAGGAGCCATTAAAAAGCAAATTCTACTGACAGTTACCTGTATTTAGAATTGGGAAATAACTGACATCACAGATTGTATGGTGTGGTAACGGACAGTAATAGACTGATTTAATAGTGATCACTATTTCCAAACTGCTGGTTTCTTTGTGCTAACTGTGATTTCTGAATAAAAAAATCCTTACTTGTAATAACTCTTTACTTGCCCAAGTGCAAGTAATTGCATAAGAAATCCACCAGTGCAAAGAGATACAAGTACACAGTCTGAAAAAGTATCTTGACAAAATGTTTAACTCACCTGGGTTAGACTCAAACTGCATTCATTAAGTGAGGTTTTTCTAAGAACTTTCAGTCTTGCATCTTTGAAAAAATATCTGTATTTATAGTTTTCTTTAAACACATAGTATTAAGGGTTACCTATTTAAATAGCCAACAAAGAATATGACCTATTATAAACCACACAGATGCTCACGTGACTTATTATACCTGTCCTAAGTTTGCATTTTTCTTCTTTGTGATGCTAACAAGATGATCAGGTCCATCCTTTCTCTGCCTGTGGAACATAATAGTCTAGTCTCCTGGGGGCCTCATTTACTTTAGTCTCATTTCTGTTGTTGCGTTTTGTGTGCAGGTGTGGGGTGGTGCTGGTGGCCTGTGATACACAAGAGGTCAGGCTAGATGATCTAGTGGTCCCTTCTGGCCTTAAAAGCTATCACTCAAAACATAACAATGAAGCAGCACTCCTTCATAATCGTCAACACCTTTACAGACATACATCTTAATTATGATTCTCCCCCCACCCCTTTTAATACAAATACAAACCTAACAAAATTTACCTAACCTTCATTAAGGTCAAATCCTTCTTGGTCACTGCAGCTAGAAGAAATGTTACTCAGTTCATCCCCTGCAGTTGAAAACCCATCGGCCAGCGCAGAATTCTCTGAAGTTGGCCAGAAATGCAGAGATGGGAGGATTATCACTCTCTGCTCCAGTAACAGCCCCCAGCTAGCAGACGCTGCTCTCTGCAGCACATACACCAGCTGGAATAGGGGGCTGGACGGGATACCCTAAACTAAAGTCCTTGGAGTTTCAGGGCACAGGCACACATGGTAGTTGCCTGAATACTAGGTACAAATCCTGCCCTGCTTCTTCTGTGGTATGGCAGAAGTTCCCATGTGCCCTCCCCTCCCAATCCACAAGTATAGCAAAAGGGCAGGATCTTCGCAAGGTCTGTCTCCCATTCCTCCCCCTGGCCCCACCACTAAATTGGACTGCTCTGAAACATTTACACATCTAAAAAGGAGAGAGAAAAAATGTTCACCTGTCAGGTGCTATAAAACCAATCTTCTACTAAATGTGCCAGAATAATTTTTCTCCACCTCAACCACAGTTAAAACCTTCAGTCTATTCATTACTGTCTTTTTATAGTATTTTTATTTAATAAAACCTATTAAGACTACCATACAAATCTCTTTACTTATGCTTTTATCTTTTAACTGATCAATTTTTATATTGCTGACATCCCTTCTTCACCATTTGCTCATTTAAAAATTCATAGTATATGAGCTATGTCTCTGGAGAAAATGTCTATAAAATTTGTTACAGCTGGCAAATGTGTATGAGTCAGTGATAGCACATGACTAAATGCTTCACAGAAAATAAAATTTGTTTCTGTAGTAAGCAGAACTGTTTAAATGTTATTTATTTTTATGTTTCAAAGAAAATATATTGTGAAGTGCTGCATTGATTTAATACACAACAATGTCTGTGTACACGCTGTACAGGGAAAATTTATGAAACCTTTGCACAACTCCTTTAATTGAATTTTCCAAATCTCTCACCACACACAAATAATCAATATCTTCTGCAGAGAAAACCAGTCAGAATTATTACAGTCTTTCTTTTCAATTTTGTTGTCATCAGCACATATAGAGCACCTGGATATTTGTAATGTCTGGATAGCAAGTTATTTACACCTCTTAAACATAAGATTGCTATTAAGTGAGTTCAAACTGTTTCTTTATTTAAAATAATTATATTCCCAGGAGAATACAGATAGAGTATTTATAGTCATGGAGGAGTTGCTATACATATTCATGTTGTAATGAAGCAGTAGTTCTTTTTAATTTTTCATTAAGCTTCATACTCTAAAGCCTTGATCTGCCAGATTATTTTTTTTAATTGATTCTGAAAAAAGTAGATAGGAAAATAGGGAATAAACAAAGGTGTGAAAGTTCATGAATCAATGTGGTTGATGATACCCACATAGAGAAGGTAAGTTGACAGTCCAGTATATACCTATGTCTGAAGTCTATAGCTGTGTGTATTGTGCATTTCTATCTGCCAACAGTTAATAGCTTAATATTTCATCTGCATAGCATAGGACGTTAAATCACTGGAGAGGTTTGTAACTTACTCCCCAAAAAGCTCATGTCTCTGACCTCAGACTCTCTCACTTTCCAAATTTCCAAAATGTATTTTATATTTACACTCTAAGGTGCACATGCAACACAGTAAAACCAGAGCCTGCTGGGAAAGATTTATTTATTTATTTTTAACAATGAAGAGAGAAAAAACAGGACACGCTGAGTCAAAATAAATGGTCTACAATCTCTCTTACCCGTCAGTGATCTTTCTCTAATGGACAAAGTTAGTCTCTCACTTCAACCAGGACAACCACTTGAACCTAACTCAAAATTTAATGGCATTGCAGAATTTGGGCACTGGTCAAGACACTTGGCCTGACAGGCTGGAAAAGGCAAAAAATTCCCCGTAAGTACAATTCCAAGACGGGAGGAGGAGGAGGAGGAGGAGGACACGGACACTTGGATGGAATGAGAAAAGAGCTCTATTCACGCTTAGCCAAAGGAACAGCTTTTATCCAGACAGTGCAAGCTACAATGAAGCAAAAATCTCTGAACAGCATTAATGACTCAGCTATGCAAACAAACAAAACAAAGGTTTCAGAGTAGCAGCCGTGTCAGTCTGTATCTGCGAAAAAGACCAGGAGTACTTGTGGCACCTCAGAGACTAACACATTTATTTGGGCATAAGCTTCCGTGGGCTACAAACAAAACAATGGGGAAGCTGATCTTTGTCTACTAAAGAAATCCCTTTTACAGTTTGCATGTTCTTAATTGTCTAGTGTGTAAGTGGAGGATAACGTCCAACTAGTTTAGGTTTGTAAACACTCCCTAAATACAAGAGGATGGGATTATTTCTTGAAAACAGAAGGTTGGACAACTCTTCCACAGGTTGTTTGTGCAGAAATATAAGGGTCAGATTCTCTGCTGCATCCAGGTGAAGGTAAGTCAGGGGGCTGGTTTTGGCTCCTTAATTCTCAAACTGTTCAATGAAGGTCATAGTTAGCAGCTGAGTTCACGCTCTGAAACTGTCTTTCATTGAAGAGTGACCTGACAGTATTTAAAGACAAGCTTTAGATGAGACAGGGATCTGAGACAATTTAGCTTGACTGGTGGTGAAGGCGAGGTTTTAACTAAAGGTCTCTCTCCAACCCAAGAGGCTTTTTAGGTTTAACAAAAATTCTCCAGCCACATTTTTAGCTTCCACAAAGGTGATGGCCAACACCTGGTATGGCCAATACATCTGGGAAGACAACAGCATGTCTCCTGATGTGAATCTTGTTTGGGTATAATTGCTGCCTACTTGAGTTACCTTGGGTTGCTAGATCAACTTCTTGCTGGCTGCTGTTGAGGCAGTGAGTTTGAGCAACAGTAGTCTAGTAGCAACTGATGGTTGAGAGCATGATGTTTGAGAATTTTTCCATGAGTGACCGAAAGACCCAGTTGGAGTAGGGTGCACTGCTTGCATAGAGGAGCAGTTATTTTCTTCTTCTCAGCCTCCTCTGGTATATCAGGTATAACTAACCAGAGCCAAGAAAACTGCACCATCCATCAGGTGAGGCATAGCAAGACTGTGGATGCTAACAAGAACCTTGAAACCCCCTAGACTGATGTCTCATACAGCTGTAGCTGCCTGTTCCCATGTGATTGAGTGAAAACTCATCTGGTTAAAGACTGACTTGTTCACCTGAAAACCAACATTGCTAAAGAGTGTGTACAAGGAGAGGCAGAAATTGGTTCCATTGCCCTGTACAAAAAGAGGTAGGAAGAAAAACTTCCTTATTGGTGCTGAGGAAGAGTAATTGCAATACAAATACCAAATTTACCCAACTTTTTGCAAGGATGAGTATCTGGAAAATGGGCTCATTTTCCTATTTTAATATAGCCTACAACTTAAGGCTCTGAATATAGTTTTTCTTAATACTGCAAATATATGATCTTCTGAGAATCTTTAGCCAGAAGACTCTCTATTGCGCCTTGCAGAACACAACAGATTCATTCATGGGCATGGTTCATGCTCACTTTAGTGCTACATTGTTTTTCTTTACAGGAAATGTAGAGAAACTATTAATATTTTGTAACTGCCAGCAGAAGCTGCTTCACTGTTTAGAATTTTATCATCGTCAAGCCTCTAAATGCTCAAACTGTTAAGCGTTCTTTAAAATATGCATAGTGCAACCTATATATTTATTCTCAACACACACAAAGCATGTTTTGGACTGCAGCAAACTGACTAGATTTCATCTCTTGGCAGCTGCTCTAGAGTTTGCTTACATTTTATTCAAAAACATTTTGTTTACTGTAAATGCTAGCCATGGACAAACAATGAAGCCATTTTTTATGCTGATCACACAAAATGATATACTGAGTTCTACATAATGCTGCCCATTGACTAAGGAATTTTCTGTATTAAGTTGTTTTAAGCAGAGGTTGTTTATGTAAAGTAAATAAATTTCATGCCTCACCATGTGATGATAATGTGACATTCCATCTGTATCAAGCCACAGAATAGTCATAGGTTTCAAGTCTTGAGCATAACTAATTAAAAATAATTATGAAAAAACCACATCCAAAACTAAAGGGTGAAGTAAAAATATCTCCAAATACTTTCTTTTATCACACTTTTTCTTTGCTCCTCTTTTTCCCATATTTTTAAAGAGAGCACAATGAAGCTCAGTCCTTGTTGAAGTAGAATTAAAATGGATAAAGTTTACTAAGTTTACCAACTTTGTTACAACTGGTAACTTTGCTTCTGCCCTACTTTCAGACAATGAATTCAGATTCAGGGCAAAAAAAATCTTGTCTAACGAGCTTGACAGTTGGCATGGGCTAGTTTCTGTAGCACAAATGGGCCTATACATTTGCTTCACTGTGGCAGCTAGAAAGCATTCCACAAGAGAGGCACCAACTGCCTGCCAGCATTGGCCCAAGATGCTCTCCATTGGTTTTCACTGGCCAAGAGGCTCAGGGGTCCATTGTGAAGATAGCAGCGCAGACTTCCCCTCATGCTTTTCAAAACCTCAGCTTGCACAAATGATCAAATTCCACCAAAAAATATGGTGCAACTTGTTCCTTTTCTCTCTGTCTTAGTCTCCTCTGAGCCAGCAAGACTGTCTTGAATTTCATTTTTTTTCACTGTAGGAGGAGAATTCCCCACAGCAGGAAGTATAGGGATCTGCAGCTGAGCAGAGGCAATCCACGTTGATTTGATGGCTTGCTACCTGGAACAGTTTCTGTTGGTTGGAACGTATGATGGAGAAAACGTTCATCTTCCTTTGCAGTTACAACATAGGACAGTAGAAATTCCCTCATTTTAACTTTTTTTCAATTACACTTATCTACATTTTAAATTAATTGATGGGCTTTAGAGCAAGTCTTTTACCCTCACATTTATCTGTCATCAGAAAATAATGGGTACTTGACTGGGTGTGGGTGTGTGTGTGTGGGGGGGGGGGAAAGCAGGAAGAACACAGGTAGGGGCCAGTGAGTCAATGGTAGTGGACTGACTACTAATCACTACAGTGTTTCATCGGATTATTTCTCCACCAGGGAATTTCAGAAGTCCATGAAACTCAAAGAACCTGGGTTTTACCCTTCATGTTATTAGAAATTACTACACCCTAGTGAGACTCCAATCATACCTGTCTGTTATACGTCTCCCTAAATTCCATCAGGTAAAACACAGAGAAAAGTTTGTTTACATCTGAAAGAAACTTTGTAATGACAACATACTTGAGTTATGAAATGAACAGAGGTGCTAGAAGCTCCGACTTAGTATGAGATGCACTTCAAATATTTTATTGGATATGGATCAACTATTGTCCAGATTCATGATTGTTGTTTACTTTTGTACCTTTGCTACAAGAAAAATGGATTTTTTTTTTAAGTTTAGAATTTGCAGAATGTGGTTGAGGTTTTGGGGGTTCAAAGGCCTGTTGCTAGGATCTTAGTTTTGCTTGTTGTATACATTAGAAGATACTCATTATTATTTATTAAACACAGCAAAAGAAAGGAGGAGGAAAAAGCAAAAAAAAATTGTAGCTTTAAAAAACCAAGACAGTCTTCATATTAAATTCTTTTATAGTCTCTTTTCCCTCTCTCTATATAGACAAATTTTAAAACAAAAAATTCTTTCTTGGATGTTTTTTTTAAAATGGCATTAAATGTTTTTGTTGGAGGAAAAAGAGTATTAATTATATAATGTAGCTCTCAGGTTTCGCAGTTTAAGTCTGATCCTGTTTCTTCCTAAACTAAACCAATTGCACAAGAGAATAGAATAACAAGAGACAGGAAAATGCATCTCTGTCTCTGTTGCTTGCAGATTGGCTGATGGAAGACCACAGATACATGACCCAGTTAGCTTCTCTTGCCAGCTCTACTTTCCTGGGCCTGGTAAATGATTGGCTAGGATCATCTTATTTCCCTTTGGCCAGTATAGGGGAGAAACAATTTTTTATTGTGATCAGGCCACTCAGGAATCATTTTTAGCTTGCCAAACTGGATGTGCTCAAGAGTGGCAAGATTATATTTACCTTGGCTGGCTAAGCAAGACTCTTTTTAGAGAACAAGCAAATAGAGAAAGAGGACAGGACTAATAATACCACTTAGTCTTATATAGGGCTTTCCACCAAAGTGCTAAAATAGGAGGTCAGTATCATTATTCCCATTTTACAGATATGAAAATAAGGCGCAGAGAGGGGCAGTGACTTGCCTAAGGTCACCCAGCCAATCAATGGCAGAGCTGGAGACAGAAACCAGATCTCCAAGTCCCAATCCAGTGTTCTATTCACTAGGCCACACTGACTCCTAACCAAGACAGGAGCGGAAACTGACACGAAGGAGGGGGTTTGCATCTTGGGAGTTGCTCAGGGTACAGCCTTGGAAATAGATACTGTTGTTTTGGTTCACTTTCCTCACTTGATCCAGTCACAACATCTTTCAGGATCAGCAAAAAGGCCCAGTGACGAGATGGTAAATCTCTGGTTCCCAGTGTGGAGGGCAGGTTACTTTGATGGTGATGCTGCTGCTGCTCCAAAGCTTCCTCCTACATTAAGTGCCACGTGCTTTCCAGAAAAGAAGTTCCCTTAAACGGTGTCAATCTCATCTCAAAGTTGTACAGGCAGAACAAATCGGCAATAGTCATATATTGACCCTTCTTCACGTCTTTTAGATTACACTGGTCTGTTGCTGTAACAATTCACCAGAAAGCTTGGAAGCCCCCAATCAACAATACATTAATACTAACTCAGTTCACACCATTTCTTTGTTTTGTACTCTCCATTTGTTGTAGTTAGAAACTTCTTAGCACGTCTCGTTCTCTACCCTACAAAGGTATTCATTCTAGTGTCCTAGGACACACCCATTCTTTTTCCACTGTAGTTTCAATTGAGTTTTTAATCAATTCTATCAGGATTTGTATCTGTCAGAAAAAGTTATGAAATGATGTAATATTTAGTATTTCAATATCCTCAAGAGTATACTAGTCACCTCACAATTTATATAAGGTGAGATGGTCTCTGACACAAAAAGATGCAAAGAAAGTTGTGTGCAAGGGAAGACGGAGGATGAACAGGAGAAACTGGTAGATGGTACGTTTATAAATAAAAAGGGTAAAGGGCCTGATTGACTTCAATGGCCTTTGGATCAGGCCCCAATGCACTACTAACATGTAACTGCCCTCCTTATGCATTGTTTCTGCAATAAGAACTTCTGTATACAACTACTCAGGCTAAAAAGAAACATGAAGTTTCAAAGAACATAAAAGAAAGATTAGTTTAGCCTATATATCAGAAGAAGACACAAATCTGACATGGTTCTTTGCTAAAGATTATTTGAAGACTTTCAAAAGGAAGTCACTGAAAGGAACCCAATGATGGATATTAACCATCAAAGCAAATGCTAGATAACAAATTTAAAAATAAATATTACCTCGGGCAGGATGTTTTGCATTACTCCTCTTCAGCAGCTTTCGTTTTTCTGCTTGAGCCACTAATGAATAAAACACATTTAAAGGTCAAGAAAACTTTACTCTAAAGATTTTAATGAAAGCAGTTAAAGACAAGATACCTCGTCTTTACCCTCCCTTCCCCCCCAAGCAGATGGATTTTTTAAAAGGATAATAAAAACAACACACATTGTTGGCTAAAAACCATAATAAAAAATAATCTGCAAAACACAAGCACAATGTCTCAAATTAGTGCTTATGTCCCACCCATTTTTTTCTTCCAATCTTTCCCTCTGATGATAACATGGCACTTTGTCTCAAGTTCAGAGATGAGAGGAATGGTTCTTCTCCCTGTTACGGTCAGCAGAAATGCGTGCGTGCCCACAAACAAAGGGTACTATAGGTTCATGTAGGTTTGACATCTTGTTTACATCAGTTTCCTGGACCTGGCAATCTCATGCCCTATCCTGAATGTACTTGCTCTGGTTAGTAATGTAAGCGTAAAGACAGTACCAAACACTAGCATTCTGTTTACGAAAACTTCTATTTGTATTACAATAGCACCTAGTATTAGTGATTATATTCATGCTAAATTTAAAATTAGTGTATTTGGAATAAAATCTAATAAGTGTTAGCTGTCAAATTATAGTAAAGAGATAAAAATTGTTGAAGCTTACTTAGCACTTTGGTCTTCTGCACTTCAGCTTTCAAGTTACAGGATGAGTCTGAGACGCCAAAAATATTTTCAAGCTCTCTACTGCCCTCTAAAGCCTAAAAATAGAATTAAAAACAATATTAATTTTATTCCTAAACCAACAAATTGCTATACAGACTAACAGAGAGAGAAGGTAGGTGAGGTAATATCTTCTATTGGATCAACTTCTGTTGGTAAGAGAGACAAGCTTTTGAGCTTACACAGAGCTCTTCTTCAGGTATTACCTCGCCCACCTTGTCTCTCTAAAGTCCTGGGACCAACACAGTTACAACACTCCATAAACAGTCTAACAAACATTTTCAATGCAATTTATAATTAACAACCTACTCTAGCAAAGGGTAAAATTTTCACAAGCACCTAGGTAACTTAAGTAAATGAAAGACGGTGGGACTTAGGCTCCTAAGTAAGTAAGTCACTTTTGAAAAGTGAACTTGTGTGTTTTTGAAAACATTATTTGAAAACTCCTGTTATGTTTGCTTCATTTATATATCTTCAGCTTTTTAAATAAAGAGATTCACACCTGATCCCCAGAAAAACAATTCTGGTACATGTATAAATTTGCCTTAATATGTTAGTAAATAAAGAAAATGTATCAGCTTTTAAAAATCTCTTGCATATGGTCTTCAACTTTAATAATAAATCTAAAAATCCCCACTGTATCAATTTCATTAGCAAGGCCAAGATTTTATTTTTAAATGGATTTGTAAAAGCCAAATTGAAAATCTTTAATTAAAGAATTTCAAAAATAGTGCCTGCTCAATCTAAATAAGTCTTTTTGAAACAACAGTGTGTGTGTAACAACATATGTAAGTAAAATAAAATAATTTGAATAGTCTGAATTATTTCTGAGGACACTGAAGTACAAGAGAACTTTGTCATGAATTTATTCCGTACGAGACTATGAATAAACAACATTGTGTGTGATAAATAGACGCCATCAAAAGTTGACATATTAACAATGAATTGAATAGCATGATGACTTCAACACAAATAGATGTTTAATTTTCAAGTCCTTACATACAAGAGTAGGACTGCCAGAAGCTAGGATTGGATGACAAGGGCTGAATCACTTTTTAATTGCCCAGTTCTGTTCATTCTCCCCGAACCACTGGCCATGGTCCGAAGACAAGCAAGATGGACCATTATTATGTTCTAATGAAATCTATGCAGCAATAATTTATAACTCTGTCAATGCTACTTAGTAATGGCCGTACAACCTAGACACAGGGATACAAGTTAAAAACAGACCTTTTGGGTCATTGGTATAGAGGTATAAATTTTGCTTTAGCTGCAGGATTTGTCCCAGATTCAAATCCTGCACATGCAAAAATGTTCTTGTGTCATACAGGAGGTCAGACCAGATGATCACAATAGTCTCTTCTGGCCTTGGAATCTATGAATAAAAAAACTCATTGTGCCAGTGTACTTTGAAAAGTGACTTGGGAAAAAAAAGAACAGGAGTACTTGTGGCACCTTAGAGACTAACAGATTTATTAGAGCATACGCTTTCGTGGACTACAGAGCACCTCTTCGGATGCGACCGGAGAAGTG